CTTTCCACTTTTTATTTAAAGTAGACTTAACTTTTCATTACAACATACCCCGTAGGGTAAATAACTTCTGAGTAAAAGTCTTTAGACAGAAGACTCATCCTTACTTCATTTCATGCCATATTATAGATTACATGTCTACAATTTTTATGTGTCAATTTTACGTTTTTTTTTTTTTTTTTTTTTTCTTTAATCCCGTTAGATATTTCATTGATGATTTCTGGATCTTTCTCAGGCAGTTTGTTAGCTACTTCCTTCATTTCTTCATCCTTTGATTCTTCAGATGTCACTTGTCTCATTTCCACATCGTCTTTTATGCCTCCAGTTTCTTCTGTAAGCTCCACTTTCACCTGTAGGAGTTGTTTTCGCACCTTTTCTTCATCACCATTTATTTCTTCTTGTCAGGCTTTCTTCTTTTCCAATCCGGCTCTCCTCCCTTTCAGTCCAGCTTTGATCTCAGCGGTCATCTCTTTATATACAGCTTTCATCTCAGCCCTCATCGTAACATATCCGGCTTTGATCTTGTCTAAAATGTCCATTTCTTACGCCATGGCTATGCTCTTCTAAAAGTCTTCATTTCTTACGCCATGGCTATGCTCTGCAGGCGGGTCACTGGCATTCACTCACAAATCCCACTTCCTTTACCAGCTGTTACGTTTTTCTTTCTTCTGACACCAGTTGTTATGTTATTTTCTTCCTTCACATTCTTAGATTTGGAGTGAATAACGACAACACTTGATGAAGTATCGAAACACACTTTATTTATCAATATTAATCAGGACAGCTCGAAAACACTTTTACAGTCATTGAAGATCTGCTATAAATACGCTGGAATAATCAGCGACACAGCGTTCACACTGTCATGCAATAACGGTGGAGACAGCTTCACCACAAAACACCAGAGTGCAGCTCCCGACTCTGCTCGGTTGTTCTCGGAACTTCACGTACTCTCGAGACTCTCCGCACTACAACTCGCGATGCACAAGAGTATAGCTCTCGACTTACCACAGTATAAGACGAAACTCGACGATGCACTAATTTGCGATACACTAAAAGACTCTCTCGATGAATGCGGCACTAGACTTCGAGACACTCGCTCAATGTCAATGACTGACTATCAGCTCACTAGACGAGGCACACACACACTGACTGCGGACCAACAAGGTTTATATAGCTTTCAGCTTGTGTTCGAGAACATTTTGCGCTAAACAGGTAAAAATTCGTTCCAGAAAGTTCTCCATTCGTCCATGGTATATCGCCAAATGTGGCAACCCTAAATCTGCTTTGGGGGGAAGCTATTTTACTGCGCCTGTACATTTCATAACAATAGTGTATAACGATTAAACTAATAAACTTCTAGGGATTTTGCCTGTAACTAAATGTAATTTGTGGTAAATCCTCCAATATACGTATAAGCAACTTTTCGCTATGTCTAGATAAGCCAACAAAAAGCGTACTAAGGGTGTAAAACACACTTTTATTAAGAATTCCAATAAGTTGAATAGAAGGCACTCCTAATGCTTACGAAACCGGCCAGCATTTATGGCCTGAAATCAGAAAGTAGAATTTTAAATTAAAACTAAATCATAGTTAGCCTAAGTTTACACAGAGATGATTAAACATGCAAGTTGGCTGTAACCTACACAGGCATGACAGCTCGGTCTGCAAGAATAAAATTACTTAGTAAACAAAATTGTTGTCAACTGGCTTTTAGCTGGAGGAACACGCTCTGACTAAAGCAATCTCAAAATCTCACTTAAATAGATGCAAGCTAAAATTTGCATTCTGACAGGAAAGAGGTAAGTGACAGTAAAGGTTCGTAACATAAAATAACTGGTTACTTAAAATAAATACCTTACAAACTTAAATGTTATACCTAACAGATACTGAGTAGCACATTTCATTTTTGTTTTTCTATTTATCATTTATTACATCATTCGAACTTTTCAAGATTTTACTTATGTAATATGAGAAGCTGCACTCTTTTTATTATGCTCTATCATATTGTATCAGTTATGATTCTAGTGTTACTCAATGATATTACAATTTAGTATATCTTATTAAGTATTGATAAATATATCTGTAATTATTTAACAATATTAAAAAAATTAATTTCAGCCAATAATTGCCCAACATCAGTTACAATTAAATTCAAAGAACGAAGTGCCACGAATACAAAAACTTTGAAGATATCTAAAAGATCCCTTCTTTTATTAAAATTCTTTTACACTATTTCTGTTTCACAAAAGATCTAGTTTTCTTTTTCAGTTTGGAAAGAAAAGAACTTTTGCTTTTATTGAAAAAGACGAAAAACGAATACTTGATTCTGCATTTTTTTCTTTTTTTTTCTAAAAGTCGTCTGGTTTTGTCGCCAAATGGACGATTTCTCCCCCAAATGTGGCACCCCTGCTTTTCCTTGCCATTGTATGGCAACCCTAAAACTGCTTTGCAGGGAAGCTATCTCACCGCTCCTGTACATTTTGTAACGATATTACAATATAACAGTAGTCTTTACAATTGGCTTTTATAGTTATATTGGAAGTGTGCATTTCAGTATAAATTACGGTACTGGGAAACCTCAGTTCATGAATTTAATTCATTCTTAATGGCTGTTTATTAACTGAAATGTTTGTGAACTGAGAAAATTTTCTTCATAAGAATTAATGTAAAATGGATTAATTTGCTCCTGTATCATTGTGACAGCTTGTACTATACAGGAAAATATTTCTATCCATTGTTAAAAAATTCATAAAAAATAGTGAGGAAATCAGGACAGAATAATAGTCAATTAGTGAAGAATGAATGACATGTGTAAAGGTGAACAATGAGTCTGATGCTTCAATAATAACAACATAAGAGGAATGTCTTCTACCATCAAACAAGCGAATTGGTTGAGTTACCAGGTTTGAACTGTAATTGCCATTGTTGGTGGTATTTACATTTACATGGTTCTTCGTGGAAGTTTTTTTTTTTTTTTTTCCCTAGACTATAATAAATAGCTTTTTAAAACAGAATAGGAAAAAATGTTAAGTTTTTATTTACTAATTTTCACATATTCACAGCTGGAATCTTAGTTTAAAATAGTCATGTGGTTCTCAATCGATCTGCATTTTGCATTTTCTATTTCTGCTTAAGAGTAAATGGTAGAGCCCCCCCCCTAATATCATAAGTGTGGGCAATCATAAGTGTTTATACAGTCAAAAGTCGTTAATCCAGACTCGTCGGGACTTTGGCAATTCTGGATTATCGATCAGTTTAAATCTGGTAAGATGGCATGCAGAAATTATAAAATTAAAAATATGAAACCGTAATTTATGAAATAAAGAACAATTATGATCTAAAGGGTATCAAAATGTACAAAAAAAAAAAAAAGAGCTTAATATTTATTTGTGTACTTTATTAAACATTTCTTTCAATGTAAGTTCTTTAAGTTGCTTCGTTTTATGTGATAATACTTTCTCTTTAATTCTATAAACAGACATAATTTCTTGTTCAGTTACAAAGTTCCGCTGTTCAAGTCCTATAATTGCTGTGTCGAGAATACCGACTAATTTGTCAATCGAAATTTTTTCGTTTTCAATAAGCTCTGCCACTTTCTTCACTATCGGAAGCGAATTATAATGACGAGGAACTTGTTTTAAATCATATCAAAGACGGAGTACATCGAGATGAAATACTACATTTAGTAAGGAATTATAAGCCAAATAAAATAAAAACATCTGCCGTGAAGATAAGGATAGTGCTGACAGATCAACTTCCAATTCATTGCGCGCCGCGGCCGAGCAGCGTGAAATTTATAAACAGATTTCGGATTTTGAAACATACTTTCGCTTTAGATCCTTTACATATTAGCAAATATATATCGGAAATTCTATTTGATATAATCGAAAGTTCAAGCTTACTTTTATAAAATTGCTCTAACAGTCTGCAAAAAATAATAAGCTGGATCCAATTCGAAGATTAAGGAACAATGCAATCTGCAACATTAACTGAATTAGATAATTTTAGCTTAGCTTATACCATCTGTTATACATTAAATGCGCATGCATAAACGTTTTATGCGTACGCGCACACGCATATTTACAGCCGTAAAGGTCCGCGATGCATGTGCAGAAAGTTTGTAGCTTTGAGGTCCGGATTATAGATCATTCCGGATTATGGGTGTCCGAATTAACAACTTTTGACTGTATTTACATTTACATGGTTCTTTGTTCAAGTGCTTCCATTCACTGATTTAAATCACTGATTTTAATTATTGATTTAAATCAATGGACAAGGAAAGCAGTCTTGTTATTGCGGGCCCCTTGAAAAGCATATTTTTTGAAGTCCTAAACATTTTATTAAAATTTTCAAAACTTTTCCTATTGTTAAGAAAATTGCAAATGAAAATTGTTATTATTTTGAAGTTCATTAAAATTTTTAAAGATATTAAAAACAACAAATTTAACATGTGCATTTGATTGAATATTTTTATTCAGAATTTCTAGTTTGTAATGTTGCCATTATCATTGTCAAATTAGTGTAGAAAATTCCTAAAATAATTCTAAAATTACTTTTGAAACTAATTTTATTATAGTGGCTATTTTAGAGGAGTGTTAATAATGCTCACATGGAGTCTGTAATTTGTGTTTTGTATAAATTGTTGTTAAGTGTTAAATATTTCACTCTTTTTCATTACAAACAATTTGTGTGTGCATTCATTAGAATTAGCATACACAAACTTAAAATTGAGTAATTTGGACTTTTTTGATTTTTATTGTGTATAGTTTGTAAGTGCATTTTTTTAGTTTTTTTATATAAATCATTGTACTCAAAATTGAAAATGCAGGGTATTAATTTATGTATTACATAAGTTGTAAAATCTTTTCAATTCTTTGCTTACCTTAATCTTATACATCATGTATAATTTGTTTAGATATTCTCCAGAGTTTTTGTAATTAATTTTGTAATGTTGTGTGATAAACTTGATAAACATAATTGTATTAATAAATCTTATTATTTAGTCATGCTATCGAAAGATGATAGGCGGTGGTCACCACTTGGAATACACGTTTCACATGACATTTGATTAATTGATTGATTGGTCTGCCACCATCTCTGCTCGAATTATGGCTATGAGAGATTTGATTGATGGTGACTGTGGGGTAACCAACCCCCTCTTGAAGATTGCTGGCCATTTTACCCAAAATAAGGGTCCTCAGGTATGGTTAAATGAAATTTTTTTTACATTGAATCTTCTTTGAAATATGTTAGGAATGATAAAATTATGTAACAAGTTAATTTCACTTTGCTTGAGTTTTAACTGACACTCATTAATAAGCTGCCAACAATCTGTTGGTGTCTCAGCGTGCCCCTCAACGATTTTTAGCGACTGGCCAGCAAGGCACAGTTTCAAGATGGCCACTACACAAAACCAAAATAACAAGTAAAAACATTGCACAGAATCGGTGTCCATGTACACATTGATCTATTTTCATTTTTTAAAAAAAATCAGACAATTGCACAAACTCAGCATTACGCATTGCCTTGACTTTGTCCATATATGCATCGATCTATTTTCTCCTTAAAAAAATCAGGAGAATGATAGTATCATATAAGATTAAAACAAAGTTACTTGTCGCCAAAATTGAACAAAATTTGTAGCCAATCGAAGCTCATTAAACTGCATTTTAAATCACACCATGAAATAACATAAAAAAGGAAATACACATTATCTCATACATGTACTACAGAAAGGAAATATTGACTTCATTTTATTTAGAAATTTCTGTGTCTTCAGTCTGTGGCACACAAAATTCCTTAACAGCATCCAAAAACTTTTTAAAATTATCTGAACTAAAATGTACATACTGCTGTTGCCACATAAATTTACAAAAATAAGAGTAAAAAATATACTCCGTAGTGTCAGACTGTTGGTGGCATTTCTTCCAAAAATCCCTTTTTATTACATTCCATATACATTTGATAGTGTTGATATGAACTCCAGTTTCCGGATCCTTAAATGTCACTGCATGATTTACTGAGAAGTGAAATAAGCCGTTATCAAAATGACAATCGTATGTCTTCCAGCAGTTGGAAATGATCATTGTTTCAGATAAAATATTCTATTGAATTACATCCAACAAAGTTTCTTTCCTTCTGTCCTCAAAAAACACCTTCTGCTCTCTTTTTGTTCTATACCACCAAACATCCAGTTTATCACCGGCAGCCATTTTATGATGCAAAGCACAAAATGTACAATGTATTTCCTAACCAACATCCAATGCAGAAATACCTCTTACAGATGTTTTCCCATCATTCAAATTCACCACAATCACCCAACCAATCATGTCATAATAAGGTTTCCATAACATTCAACTACTCAAGTTACCATAAATGAAAGAACAATTTGACGATAATCCAAGGGATACCCTAAAATATAGACTAACCAACCATGTTTTTAACATCAACAGATCAATTAAATAAGGTGTTTATATACATATATATATATATAATGTAAGAGAAAAATAAAAGAATATGTAAAAGTATAAATTAGCAGCGTAAATTAATTTTCCTTTCTCTATTCTAAAAATAGCAACATCTATTTGCACTGCGTCATTTCGAGAAAAAATCTATGTTATATGAGTCTTACGTAATTCTGGTAATGTAAATTGAACTAAACTTCATGCAGCCAATAATAATTTTACAGCAATATTAACTGTCCAATCAAAATGTTTTGAGAACCAAAACTAACTCAGTTTGACTTAAGATTACATCCTGAACATTACACACTTTCTGCCTTAGCTGGACTGCAGTCTGTTTGCTTCTTCTTTTTTTGCTGCAAATCTACCAAAAATGTAAGCCTTTTGGAACAGGCACATTTAATGTGCCGACTTGTGTGTAGCCGCAACGTGTTGCTGAAAATAAAACTGAAGATTTAATATGCCTTCGCCTCCAATTTCCTAGTCAAATTATGGATCAACACTTCTATGCCACCAAAATTCCTGCTCCTGAATATATTACACACACACACACACACACATATATATATATTGAGTGGATGTTGTTTAGTAATCACATTCAAAATTGCATCAAATTACTGTTCTCCACACTTTGCCTCTGTATGAACTTAAATAAGCAGCAAGTGACTTTTCTTGAACTAATTTAGTTAGCTCTTAGTTTATGGCTTTGCTGACAAATATTAACATTTAATTTTAATCGAATACCTTCAATCATGTACAGTGTCATTGTGTAATAATTGGAATTGTCATGATTATTGGGTAGAATATCACATACTTAATAAATAAATTAATGCTTGTGGTTCATTTCATGGAAAATCTTTTAAATGCATGATAGAAATTGCTGTAAAAGTTAACATGAGGCATACAAACATTATCCTGATAATTTTCTGTAGGTTTCCTAAAAAGGAGATGCAGTGCAGGTAGCTTTTGCTGTAATTAGTATGCAGTTGATGTTGAAATAAAGAAAGGAGCATTTCTTACCCTCCTTTAACCTTCCAAATATTAACAGGAGTTGGGGGATTACATCTTTTCAAAATAATTGGAAACAATATTTTAGGATTGCTGCAGTGCTCACAGAAAATCTGTGAGCTACAGATTGAGCTCACAGAAGATCTGTGATCACTGCAGCAATCATTATCACAGATATGCTCACACAGAAGAAGGAGAATCAGTATAAAAGTATGTATGTTTCTCACATTGTGATAAAACAACAGTACCTAGAGTCATGGTATAATTGGCAGGTTTATCACAGTTTATTCTTACTGATATCCAAGTATCAGTTTTCCATTTAATTCTTATCTGCAAGTTAAAACACATTTTCACTTGTTTCTTTCCAAAGTATCGTAATTTTTTTTTTTTTTTTTTGTGATGAATAACACATAATTATTTCAGTCTGCTTTATAATAGCTACATGCTTGTATCATTCCCATTAATTGTTTGTTTATTTGTGGGATATCAGGAATGTTTGATTAACTTACTAGATCTGACTATAAACTATAAATGGCATTTCACTTTTCTAATTGTTGCTACCAAATATCATCGCCCTGTATTTTATTCAAAGAAATTAAATAATAGAGAATCTGCATAAAAGTATGTATGTTTCTCACATTGTGATAAAACAATGGTACCTAGAGCCATCAAGCTTTGAATAATGTATGTCTCCACCTGAATATGTGCATCTGGAAGCCCAAATTTGGAATTTCTTTTATATCTATTTCATATTTTGTAAAGCATTTATGAGTTTTTGATTAAGAAACTCAACAATTTCAAACTGAGCAATGGAGGCACTGTACGGGGAAGGAGGGATTATCTCTAGCACGTAGACTGCATATCAGAAATTCTAAAGATATATACTCTTTTAAAATTATTTTGTGATATTGCTGTTGAATTGAATTTTATGGCAAGTGCAAAAAACATGATATTTAATAAATAAAGGTAACATCCAAAACATTTTTAAAAAATGCCCCTTTGGGTGTCATAAAATCTGAACACTTTCAGATTATTTTTCCTAGTTTACTATTTTATTATTATGTAATTTAATTATTTGTAACTAACTGCTCACCCTTAGAAGTTATCTTTACATGTTAAGATGAGTTATCTTCTTTCCCTAATCCTTATTGTGGAAGCAAGATACAGCAGAAAAATGTAAAATTAACGTCAAACTGTATTCCTTACAGTTAATGAGGCTTAAAATAATACAAAACAACATATCATATCTAGTGCTTCAGAGGCTTATTGGAACTTTTGGATTACAACTCCAACAAATTCTATGGGCACCAACTGGGTCTGGCAAAGTAGAGCTAGCTTTCATCATTTACCAACTGTACCAACAGCTGGTGGTGTTCTCTGTTCTGATCAATGGCTCTGTGTCTGTAAGCAAGTAACAGCAGTGCCATTAACCAGAGTCATCTGTCATGAGTCATGCTGATTATTGTTTTCTTCGCAGTATAGCTTATGTCCCTTGACATAAAATTTGTATATACCTCTGGACTGAGGAAGAACATGACGAAATGAGTCATAAAAGAAAATGCTATGCGTGAATAAAATGTAAATAAAAAACCACCTATTTTCTTTTAAAATATGTTGGACTATTTTAAGGGTAAAATGTACATATTTCAAGAAATTTTATAATTTTAATGCTAATTACTTGAAAGAATTTATGAAGTTTACTTAATTTTTTGAATTTATTTTATAATTAAGTTAAATATTAGGTTGTGTTTAATAATAATGCATCCTACTTGCATATTTATTTTATTTTTACAAACTACAAAGGTGGTATTACAAAAGTGAAGTATAAGTAATTGCTTTAGCTTATAACAGGAGTGGCCAAGCTCCTTGATAGTCCGAGCCATTTTTCAAAATTTGAAATTTTTGGCGAGCCGCAATTACATATGTATTGAAAAGGTACTAAAAAAATTTTTTGCAGAAATTATATTTATTGAAAACATATAAATAAAAGTACAAAATACAGGGGTTGGACAAAAATATGGAAACACCTTTAAAAAAACATGTTTCTTTGCTTAATATGGTGTAGGAAACTCGTTGGCATCCAAAACAGCTTGCAGTCTTCTCGGAATGGATAAATACAGTTCCTGTATGTTTGCCAAGGGAATATTATACCATTCTTCCAGCAAAAAGGTGGCAAGTTCAGATAACGATGTAGGTGGTGGATAACGAGAACGCACTTTCCGTTCCAATGTAGACCACAAAGGTTAGATAATATTCAGCTCTGGTGACTGTGGTGGCCAGGGGAGATGGGACAACTCATCCTCGTGCTCAGAAAACCAGTCCTGGACAATGTGAGCTGTGTGAACAGGGGCTTTGTCGTCTTGGAACACACCATCACCATCGGGGAACAAAGTTTTCCATGGGATGAACTTGATTGGCCAAAATGTTCACATAAGTCTTGGCAGTCATGTGCCTTGACACAGTTATCATGGGGCTAGCAGAGAAGTCTGTATTATAGGCTTGAGATGGCATTCTCCAGACGTAAACTCAGCCAGAAGTGGAAAACAATGTGAAAGAAGACTCGTCAGACCATATTACTCGCTTCCACTGCTCTATAGTACAGGCTTTATGACTTAAACACCACCTTTTCCTGTTACGGGCATTAGCATCACTGATGAGTGGCTTCTCAATTGCAGCAAGGCCAGCAATTCCCTGTTTATGAAGCTCCCTTCTAATTGTTTTGGTACTCACAGGGTTCGGTAACACATCATTCATTTCAGCAGTAACTTTTGCAGCTGTGGTCTTCTTATTTTTCGTCACAATTGCCCTTAATGATCGTCTGTCACGATCACTCAGGACACACTTTCGTTCACGCTGTGATTTAGCAGATGATGTTTTTTCCGCTTTTCAAATATGCGGAATAAATCTTCGATGCAGTACCTCTTGAAACACTAAACACCTCGGCTACCTTGCTTACGGAAGCACCTACCATACGTGCTCCAACAATTTGCCCACGTTCGAAGTCTCTTAACTCTGACATAATGCAATGACAACCTCACATAACAGTACTCCGACAACAACTGAACTGTTTAGCACATTTACGAAGTTGTATAGGTGGCGTCAGTAGTCAAAAATGCCAGCGCCACCTACATATTTCATTAAAATCAATCTTTCTTTTCAAACATGCATTTCACAAGGTGTTTCCATATTTTTGTCCATCCGCTGTATGTGTATTGAATTTAAATATTAAAAATTAAACACTTTTATTTTACTTTTCTTGATAATTCTTTAAAATTTGGTGAATAATTGATGACAGCACTTCTCATTAATTCTTTGAGATGCTGGTTAGATAATACTGATCGATATTTGGATTTCACAAATTTTAAAGTGGAATAAAATGATTCACATAAGTAAGTTCTTCTGAATATTGAAATAATTCAAGAAGCACCCTTTTTTAATTCAGGATACTTTGATTCTGGTACAAATTTCCGAAATTTAGTAATCGGCGTCGATTTATATTTTAATTGTAGGGCTTGATCTTCTTGCATCTCTATTAATTCTAATTCTCCAGATGCTTTTTGGGTCATAATTATATTGGAAATGGAAAACTCACCTTCAATTATGCTAATTTCAGATGGATTCAGAAAAATATCAAGAGGCGATGGATGGAAATGAAATTTGTTACAACTTTGCACTTAGTCTTTCATATTTGTTGTCTGTAATTTATTTTGAAATAGACATTTTGAAACACATACGGAACGATAATAATTTTTTTAATATAATAACACAAAAATGAAAAGGGAACTGGGGTACATCTATTGAGAGCCACAAATAATCCTTCAAAGAGCCGCAAGTGGCTCACGAGCTACAGGTTGGCCCACCCCTGGCTTATAAAGTTCCTAGTTGCTTGATAGGTCCTTAATTTTTTTCATTAATAGTCCTTAAAAGATCTGAAAAGTACTTAATTTCCACATGCAGAAGTACATATGAAGCCTGTAGTAGGCTTTTTACAGGCTTGTGAATTTATTTAAAACATGCTTTTTTAAGTTATTGAGCATTTTTCATTAATGCTATGGCAGTTACTTGTGTATTGGCTTACAGTTAATTGCTAAGTGGGAGCGATAAAATATAAGTAAGGAAAGAGATAGTGTTTAGCAGGATGCAAAGATTAATTTCTCTTTCAGGAGAAATGTCACATAAAATAAAATACCGAAGAAGAACTAGGTTTACAAAGAAAGGGTTATACGGAAACTTATAAAATAAAATATCTATTGTAATTTTTTTCGCCTGTATTAATAATTATTCATGCTAAGGTGAGAGTCTGAAATTACAGATTTTTAATAGAAATTTAAGATAATACATACAAATGCATGATTGTGAATACATGATTGTGAAGTATTTATATTGTTAATTTTAAGCTGCATTTGTAATTTAAAACTTGTTATGAAAATATTAGAAGGGACTGTTATTGTAGATTTTAGTTCTTTTAGTTAAGCAACTGTCATAATTAATTTTTAATATTTTTTCAACGAAAGGATCCATTAATTCTGATAAAGTTTTATGGGAGCTGATTTTATTCTACAAGATTTTCCAGTGAAATATGTGAAATAATATAAAAGTTTTACATATCAAATCTGTCGTTATTAGTGCTTTCTTAAAAGAGATATCTTAGACTTTTTTTCTGTGTTTGTAACACACACACACGGGTATGTATTTCTACATGTATGTGTTAAATATACATGTATGTATATTTAACAAACATTCTCTATTCATAAAAAGCAAATTAAAGTTAATTAATTTAAATGAAATTTAATGCAAACAAATAAATGATTAATTATTGTTGCAAACTAATCTACAATCTATACTATTAATATCATTTAAATTCTGAGAGCATATGTAAATCAATTGCAAGTATATATATATATATATATGTATTACTTGAGCTTCAAAAATTGTTTATTAGTAGTAATTTTCTCTTCCGAAATTTCAGGCTGGGCAACCTTCAAGTGCTTCTGCTTCAGATCAGGTAAGTTTGTTATAATTTAAATTTCTCACTAAAAGTTAGTAAGTAATATATTAAACAAAATGTGGCACGGTGCAGTTTCATAAATAATTTTAAAGTGTTATGTGATGTGAGAATAAGTTAATCGACTTAAGATATGAAATTGTAAATTGCATTTAATACAGAAATTTCAAATTAAAGTTTGAATAAAAAAAGTAAAGAATTGAATGATTCATATGGCAACAAAATATAAGGATTTTATGTAAGCCACATGGTTAGAGCTGCTGCAAGGGCTGAATCTTGCATGAATAAAGAGATGGTGTTGTTATTGCATTTATCATTTGTAAAATAACAGAAAAAAGGTCTCTTTTATATGATTTTAAGAGCACGTTTTAAGTTTTTTATGAACAGTAAATTTACAAAAGATTTGGTTTTCAAACGATATGAATTCATAGTCATGTTTTTCTTTTAGTGTATGGTTTCTCTAAATATGCTACACAGCTGTTTCTTGAGAATTTACTTCCTTGTATAAAGTAAAGGAAGTATTGTAATCGCAAAAAATTCAGGGTATCGTAATTTCAACGAAAATATCCAATTTTGACTGCTATTGAATGCTATTTAACGATGTTTTGATGTGACATCTGTACGTAAGGAATAAAGGACTCTTTTCCTCCAAACGAATTATAAAGCTGATTTAAAATGAATTCAGAAGAAATTTTTCCGTGCATCTGTACGTGTGTATCTCGCATAACTCAAAAATGTGTAGCCTCAGAATGTTCAAATTTTGTATATATGACTGCTATAATATGTAGTTGTGCACCTCCCTTTTTGGTTGCAATTATCCACACTAAAAGTATATAAATATATATATGTACAAACTCGGCTCAGTGGGCTAATTTTTCCTGTATTCTTATGTATTGGTAAATTGCACATTTTTTGCTTTAAAAGTGATTGAATTATGCTGTTCTTATCTTTTGGTTAAGGTTTTTATGCCTTTGCAGGGCTCGTACGCTCTTTAAGAGTCCTTAAAAGACCTTAGGTTTTTTTTCGATTTTTGGTCCTTAAAAGTCCTTAATTTCGGCAAAAATTGGCAGAAGGTCCTTAATTTTAATCATCTGAAATTTCTGTCTGGTTTTACAACTACTATTTTGAGTGTGAATTAGCATTTTGGAGAAATATTTTTGGTGATTCACTGATAACTATGGTTATCTTTTGAATAGGTTAATGGGTTATAATTTGTTTCTGTTTCTAATATAAATGGTGGAGTACTCGAGTTTCTGAGCAAGAAACATATGCATTTCAAAATTATTTCGTTTTTTCTAATGAAGAGCTCTTAAACAACTTTTCGCTTTGGGGAATGTGAATTCTTTTATCAAACGGTTCTAAATTAAGCCATTTATCAACATTTTGGCAATTTTAAGATTAGTTTCTATGGAAAATTTTTAATTCCGAGATCTGGGAATTTTTCCACAATTTTTTTAAAACATTGTAACATTCATAAATTTCATTAAAATAAAGTTAATATATTGCAATTATATTTAAAAAATAACATTGAAATAAAAAATTTTTTGCTGTCATACTGTAAAGTTCCATTTTGCCTACATATTATACAGTATTTTGAATCTGAAAAATAAACAAGGTATAACACTATAACGTACAGTTTACGAACAGATCTTGGCAAAAGCAGCTGTGTAATTAATTAAAAATGTGTTTTTAATTTTTTCATTGTAAGAGTTTTTTTTTTCCATGTAATTGTTTGTCTCAGAATATGCATCAGTTTTCTCTATAAAATTAATTTTACACGTTTTCCCTCTCTGATTTTTTTTCCAAAATATATGTGGCTTTTTGCTGTTACAGAATTGGCAGGGGTAATTTTTCTTTTAGATTTTAGATGTGCAAATTGGAAAGTTTAGAAAGATTTGAAGGCAAGATTTATAGACCCACGATTCTAGAAAATGTGACAAAATGAAATGTGTTCATGGTATTAACATGTAATGAATGTATTCTACTGAAAGTTTGCGATGAATTTCTTACTGTTTGGAGAACATCTGGAAGAACAATAAAAACATAATATTTGGATGTTTTACTTCTGATACTAGAATCTTTTTCTTAACATGTTTATCTTCCCTTTATTTTCTTTATTCCCATTTATTGGCATTTGCTTGTAGGTCCTTAATTTTTTTCATTAATGTCCTTAAAAGTACTTAATTTCTGTGTGCAGAAATGTGTACAAACTCTGCTTTAAACACCTTCTATCAGCACTTATAATCAATTTCTGTAACCCTTCATAAAGCTGGCTTCTTATAAGATTGCCTTTTTTGTATATTTTTTGACATGAAAGCGCGATTGGCTGTTACCTAACGTATTTGCACACATCCATCTACCTCTGAAGCGAATTACATCCTCTTCAATTCTGATTGTCTTCCGGAAATTAGCATTTTCCTCTCCATGCTTAACTTTTGTAAGTGAGTGTGTATATATATGTGAGCTAATTTTTTTTTTATTCTTATATATTGCTAAATTGCATATTTTTTGCTTTAAAAATGATTGAATTACATTGTTCTTATCTTTCGGTTAAGGTTTTTATGCCTTTAGTTAATCTGCATGCAATAGTTGTAGAATTATCAAGAATTTAAGAGTTGTTTAAGTGACGGTAAGCTTAATTTTTGGTTACTATAGCAGCCATATTTGTTTACATTTGAAACTTAATACAGAATAGGAACAGAATAGTGGATTCAGTTTCTGCACCTTCAGTGTCTTTTTGTCGAGTGGGACCAAAATTAAACTTTCATTTTTGTGCACTGAAAATCTGTCTTGTTGCTTGTTGGCAGAATTGCTTGTTTTTGCATAGAAACTCTAATTTTAATTGTAAAAATGGCTTTTTTTTTGATTTTTTTAACTGTATTTGGTTTTTATTATTTTTCTATATTTTTCAATTTTTAATGTATATATTTTGAGGTTTTATGTATTTTTGCCATGCCACAAACTGAGAGCAGAAATATATATCTAGTTGAAATTCAAGGAAATAAGTTGAAATGCAATTTGTATAATTAAATATTCCGTACAAGGAAGTCGTGTGGTGTACACATCAGATTTGTTCTTCTTATTTTACGAATTTTCGGGAATAAATTTAGAAAATTATAGTTAATGAGAAATAGTAAATAGAATGTGTTTTGTGTTGAAAGCAACAATCGTGTACTGTATTTCCCATGAAAATTTTCTTTAATTTCTCCTTCTTCCATATCTGAAAAGCCTATTGCTTTTGTAATTTGTGCCCACAGCTATGCCAGCGAGCATTAATTGTTGATGAATTCATTTGTTCCCATGCAAGTTTAATCATTTCTATGCAGTGTCTTATGTTGAATTACTTCCAGATGGCATTAGAGTTTCATGCTTGCCTCTTCTATTGCTTCATGTGCAGAGTTGTAAGCATGCCTGACATAATAGGCATTGAATGTTCTTATGATTCCTTGATTGGTTAAGGAAGTGATGTTCAGTGAAAGAAATAAAACCATTTGGATGCCATATTGTGAAGGCTTCAGTGCCATATCATGGAGCATTATTGAAAATTAGGAAGAATTTTATAGCTCAAGTTTTTGTTTTTCTAAACATTTGACTTTAATGAATGAATTTTCAAACTAGTCATTAAAGAGAGTAATCACGATGCAGCCGATGCTCTGCAGCATACTGCATGTAATTGATATTCTCGTATTGGACAAATTTAATGGAGACAATGAAGAAAATGCATGTGCTTAAATCGCATTCCTGAGTCCATATTTGGTAAGGGTTTGCCATGTTATAGAGGAACAGTATGTTGAGATTTTACTGATCCTTGTAAGTCCTTGAAAGTCATCAGGTTTTTGGGAGAAGAGTTTTGGTCTTTAAAGTCCTCAATTTTGCTGGAAACCTTCAAACTGTGTGTAATTTTGCTCATCTGACTTTTCTGTCTCTTTTTTACAAATGCCATCCTAAATTTAATTAATATTTTGGTTAAATATGAAACTATAAACCATGTGGCTCATAATGGAGTCATTGCAAATAGTCTTGTAAAACAAAATTATCTGTTGACCAACCTGAAATCAAATTTTGGGGGTCCTTGATTGGTTGTTCATCCAGCCTTTGAAAACAGCTGTTATCAAGGATACTATTTACTTATATGAAAAAAAAATATGGATATGCTTTAATATAAATGTGACTTAAAAGGATGTCAGAGCTCTACTGTGTCTGTACTGGTGATATTTTGCGACTGGGGACTTTTTGCAGTCTGGCTTAATGGGACACAAATCATGAGTTTCTTGCATACAGTCATCTTTTATGCAGCCTGTTACTCATAGTATATCTGGATGGTTTAGTTCCAATAGCTGCAGTGAACTTTCTTGCTATTAGGGCTGACATCATTTGTCTATTTCTTTTAGCAATCATTTCCAAATAATGGTCCTGAGAGTATGTTGTGGCATGCTTTCGATCTTGTCTTAATAATCTGCATACATCACCAATGTCTTTAAGCTGTGTCTAGGTTCATAACATGACACTTTTAGCTGTTTTTTGTTTTTAAGGCTCTCGGATATCCATGTTGCTATCTGACTAGCTTTTGTTTTCTGAATTCTTAAAAACATGTCTAATCCTCCATATATAAAAATTTTATCCTAACTATTAATAAAGTTCTTGAAATGTCTTCTTGCATTCCTTTTAATGCATAATGAAAGAAGAGGCCACAAAAATTGAATATTTTGTGTAGTCAAGGAGGAATCCCTTTGGACTGTGTGATAGCATTGACCTTAGCTACTAACCAACCACTTTTCATTGAACTTAATGTAATATTTAACACAAAACACTTTTTTATAGTTTGTGTTAATTTTTCTTCCAGCATATTTAGCCAACTCTTTTATGTTACAGCAATTCAAAGTAACTGCTGTGCATTAGTCTATTTGTGAAAATAAATTTTATGATTTGTAACAAATAATGATGTGCATTTAGTTTATTTTTTCATAATAAAAGTATTTCCTTATGTAGGTAAATATAATGTTAAATATAATTTTTTCCCCCCAGTTAGTGAAGGAATTTCTTTTTGATGCAAATGAAGCTGAAAGACATGCACCCGAAACCTTTAATATGCATGCATTATTTAATCAGATGACTGAGATCAGTGCATCTTATCATCAAAGACCTAATGAAGGTATACAAAATTAATGTTAAAAATTTCTTCAAGTTGTAAAATTTTCTTATTAATATAATTTTGATTTCATGTTTAGAAAGAATTAAATTAAAATTTTATATTTGATTATAATTGTATACCATATGACAAAAATAAATTTTAAGGAAAACATTTTTAGTGAATCTAATACCAGCACACTAAACAAAAATGTTCTTAAAATTCAATTTTGAAAGAAGAGGCTCTATGTTTGAGAGAAATAGCTTAACAAAAGTATTTTCAGGTTTAAAAGTGAAAGTATAGAGCAAATAAGCAAATAAGAGTGAAAGTATAGAGCAAATATTCTGCAGAAATAAAATATTCAAGAAATATTCTTACTTTAATTCATCCTGTAATTAATACTTAAAAATGGGAGTATAGATTAGTCAGGTTTTGTTTTATTAAATGACAGTTTGTACTTTTTTGAGCAAAACAGACACCAGCTCCCTCAGTAATTCACCATTCTACTGTTTCTAATTTTTACTCTTTACTAAGGAAAATATTACTTAGCAATAAATTAAATTTATTGAATTAATTAAAGTTGTACAAATTCCATTTTCCATCCGTAGGCATTTATCTTAAATTTTATTTGATTTGTTTAGATCATGTTTAGTCAGTTAACATTTGTATTTAACTTTGTTTTATATCTGTGTATACAAGGGTCATTGTGGTCTGAATAAAGCCAGAATTTCAACTTTTTTATGTTCTCAGATCCGAAGTATTGGTAAATCTTGTATATTCGTAATCTTTTTATGTATATATTCTGTCTTATGATTGTTCTGTATGCTAATATATATATATTAGCATGCATGCACGCACACATTACCATAATTCTGTAGCATAAAATTTTTATCTCTCTGAAAATTCTAATTAATGTTTTAATATGAAATTAATATGCAGTTTTTAACATTAATCTTAGCCATTAATTTAAATTGATAAGAATAAAATATTACATATCTTTGGATAAGTTAATCATCTTTTCAGAAAGTTAAAGATGGGGGGGGGGATTAAAACAATATGAAAATATTGTATTTCCTAAATTAGCTGTCCTTTGTATCTTTAAATTAGGTCAAATAGAGTGCTGGTATTGACACATCTGGCAATACTTCTGCTGGCTCTTGTAACATGCAGAGAAAGCTTTTTCCGAAGCTTTGCATTGCTTAGTTATCATGGCTGACTGTGTAATTGCAGCACTTGGAACTAAAACTGTAAAACCTTTAATAAAGTAATAATGAGTATTAGCTCATTTGAGAGTGTGCAGTCTGACATAATTAAATCAGAAATGGAGACAGAAAAGGGAATTACAGTCCCAAAACATATTCCAAGGAAAACCAAAAAACAGCACAGACAAAACAAACAGCATGCATAAATGGCTATTCTTATTTCATGGAACTGTTACAGTTTTTGCTTGTCTTGTTAGTATCAAACATGTGATCCATGTAAATCATCTATACATTGAGTACAGGAAATATTTCTGAAACTGAATCAACCGGTAAAGCTTCAGGGGCATTGTCTTATATAAAAGGATAATTCTGCTGGTGATTGTGTTTGTGAGAGTGTGGAGTTACTCACAGTGCACTTCTCCATTCATCTAATGCATCACATTGACTACTTTCCTTCAAACTGTTGCAGTACAGCTTAGTGTAAGAAAATTGATTTCAGTCAATTTGTATGCCTACGAATGAGTGCATTGATCAGCAAGACTTGGATGCCATGGTTCGTACAGTCCTTAAGAGTCCTTAGGTTTTTTGGAATCAATTTTTGGTCCTTAAAGTCCTTAATTTCGGCCAAAATTGGCAGAAGGTCCTTAATTTTAATCATCTGCAATTTTTGTCTGTTTTTACGACTTCCATTTTGAGTGTGAATTAGCATTTTGGAGAAATATATTTTTTGGGGGCTGATTCACTGACATATATGGTTATATTTTGAATGGGTTCATGGATTATAATTCATTCCTATTTCTAATATAAATGGTGAGATACTCGAGTTTCTAAGCAAGAGGTGGACCATAAACATTTCAAAATTATTTAATTTTTTTTAATGAAGAGTTATTAAACAACTTTTCACTTTTGGGGATGTGAATTCTTTTTTTAAACAGTTCTTTGGCTATTTTAACATCGGCTTCTATAGAAAATTCTTAATTCCGAGATCTGGAAATTTTTTCGACGATTTTGTTTTAAACATTGTAACATTGATAAAATTCCATTAAAACAATTGTAATATATTAAAATTTTATTGGAAAAATAACATTAAAATATAAAACATTTTTTTATTCGCTGTCATATTGTAAAATTCCGTTTTGTTAACTTATACAATATTTTGAATTTAAAAAATAAATTATGTTTTCATATAGTAAGATGTAATGCACAATATATGAAAAGGTTCTTAGTGAAAGCAAAATTAGCTATATAATTAATTAAAAATATCTTTTTAAGTTTTTCATGGTAAGATTTTTTCCCATGTAATTGTTCTCAAAATATTCAGAATTCTCAGTATATGCATTAGTTTTCTCTATAAAATTAATTTTATACTTTTCCCTCTGGTGTTTCCCTGCCCCCAAAATATTTGTGGCATTTTGCTCTTACATAATTAATAGGGATAATTTTTCTTTAGAATTTTAGACATTACAGCTTGGAAAGTTCAGAAGAATTTGAAGGTAAGATTTATATACCGGTTCTAGGAGATTCTAGAAAAATATGATCAAATGAGAAATGTCTCCATGGTATTAATACATAAAGGATGTATTTTACGGAAAGTCTGTGTTGAATTTCTTACTTTTTGGGAGAATGTTTGGAAGAACAATGAAAACATATTTTAATGATTTGCTTTTGATATTAGAAGTCCTTTTTCTTAACTTATTTATCTTCCCTTTATTTTCTGTACTTTTCGGAAAATAGCAAAAATGCCTCAAATCTTATCACATGGGCAGGCATTATAGAAATGGATTTTTTTAATTAATAAAGAAATTGAAAACTGACAATTTAAAAGATTCATATAATATACCTTAATGCATCATACATAGGCTGAGGCTAAGCATTTTTCCACCTGATGCAATCTCTGTGTATCCTAACTTATGTTGCGTAGTGACTTTCTAACTTCTGATTCCAGTGCCTCTTCTAAATTCTAAAAATTTTGCCTTTTCTAGATTTTCTTGCTCAGTGTGTCATTAAATTCTAAAAATTCTGACACATCATCTCTGTAACAGGCCCTTATCATATATATTTCGTATGAATGTTCATATTACTAAAGAAGTAAAGCAGCTTTTTTATACTTTCAAAATGCATTTAGTTTTTTTTAGAATAACAGAAATCCTTAATTAAATCCAAAAATTTCAAAATGAAAAGCAAATATGTTGAAGAAAGAAACTGAATACATAAAATTATTCTTCAAAGATATGTACAGTTATTATTATGTAAATTACCCAGTTGTTTATAATTTCAGCCTTTACTATAATTCTTCATTTCTATTTCCTCATATGATAGAGTTACTAAGCCAGCGTAAATTAAAATTAAACTAATTGTATAGTCTTTGACACTAGTCCACATTTTTAGTTTGAATTTGACTGTTCTTGTTTAATTACATCACCGTGAGCTGTAAATTGTTTTGTTAGCATCAGAACATGCCTTTATGTTCCATATTTCTTTTTAAATATTTAATTTCAGCTTAAGTTGTTTTTAAATAAGAGGCTTATATAAACCTTTGTCTGAGTTTCAGACACAGCGATAATTTGCATCAGCGGGGGGTTTGGACAACAGATCAAGTAACCCTCTATAGGTACATTGTGGAGAGGTTGACAAGTTAGGTGATAAAGCACGCAGAAATTAGTGAGAATGTTGGCTTGCATATTGAGACAAATTACTGATTGTTAGAAAAGATGCTTAAAGAGACGTAAATCAATATGAATTAGCAAAAATGTTTGGGAAGACTTCAAATTAAAAAGTAGCATAAATAATTTGTTGAGTGTTGTTGCTATAAAATATAAATGTTTAATGTGTAATTATCCTAATGTCGTTTAAGAAGCAATGTCATAGATTACATGTATTTTAAACTGTGAAATTTTATTAGATTGTGATTTTAATATGGTTTTTTTAACAAATGTTGTTAAAAAATAAATAAAATGTAATAGTGGCCATGTAAATTCTTAATAACTAGAGGTATCTAACTACCTAATTTAATTATTTACAACTAACTGCTTACCCTTAAAAATTATCTCTGTATATTAAAGTGAGTTCTTGCCTTTCATTAATCCTTACCATGGTCACAAGATAAAAGACAAAATGTAAAATTTCATCTAAAACTTACTTTTTGCATCTAGTGAGACTTAAAAAATAATACAAAACAACTTATCACCTCTGGTGCTTTAGTGGCGTAACTGGGTTACAACACCTAGAACTTGACACTAACTGCATCAGACAGAGCCTGATTAACTTTCAAAACTTGCCAATTATGCCTACATCAGGCCTCTCAGGTTTGTTCTAACCAACATCTCTCTCTCTAGGCAAGCAACAGTGGTGACAACATCTAGTCTTTTGTTATGAATCATACTGATTATGATCTTACTTCTCATTTTAACCTATTTTGCTTGACATAAAATCCACTTGCTATTTACTAAACCTCTAGACTGAGTACGTATATGACAAAATAAGACATTAAAAAATAAATAAATAAATAAAATAAAAAATAAAAAAATCACTAAGCTAACTCTTAGTAAAACGTAAATAAAATGCCACTTACCTTCTTTCAAATATCTCCAACTATTACAAGTGTAAAATATGTAATTCTACTTGATCAATTTCATAAAGTTTCTTTTATTCTGAGACTTATTGATAATTATGCTACTTCATGGTTTATAATAATGCATTCTATTTACAGATATATTTTATTTTTAGAATTGTATTACTAAAGTGAAGTTCAGGCATAGATAATATTTTTAATTGAATTTATTCAGTTCCCATCTGCTCATAGGTCCTTAATTTTTTCATTAA